CACGAGGAGCAGACCCCCCCCCAGACCCTCAGTCTGTGCTCACCTCACCCTCGTGGTGTGCTGCCACACTGCTATCGGACCCCATGATTGCACCCTGCTCCCCAAAACTTCGGGGCAGAGAGATCAGCTGTGCACCTGGCAGGGTAGAGACTTGCGTTTCCTGAATGGGGCTGAAAACGCCTGGTTAAAGGGGGAAAATAATATCACTACCATTTACTTCCCTAAATTAAAACTGAATGCAGCTCTCTGCGGGATACAGTTCAGTGGGGGAAATCTCAGGGGCCTCTTCATGAGATGATCAGAGTGAACAGGCTCAATAGAGAAAGAAAGAACAGATTCTGCAAAGGACAAATGACACTGGGATCAAGCCTGCCTGCTCTCCACCCTGGCTGCTGTTGCAAGAAGCTGCCTGCTTCTGTCAAAAGAAATAATGAACATCTTGCTTTTTAAAGTGGTTTCAATTTTTTTTTTTCCCCCTGCTATTATTGTTCTGTTTCTGCAATTCCCTTTCTGAGAAGGGCAGTTAGATAAATGCTGCTTTGGAGCCTGTTCCTGTGCAGCCCTAGAGGCAGTCAAGAAGTGGGTGACACTTGGCAGTTGTCATGACTGTGCGTGTCAGTGTCCCCGGCTCAGTCTGTTGCTGCTGGAAGGAGAATGGTGGTGTTTGCTGCTGTGTGAGGAGAAACCTCAATATTTTTATGGTTGCGTTGAAAGAAGGAAGTTAAATATGACCAGTGCTTTGATACAGGTTGAGAGATAAGAGCCGAGGACTGAAATTCAGAGCTCCTGGATTCTGTTCGTGGCTGTGGTGCAAGCGTGGCTGAGGCAGGAGGAAGACTTTTGGACTCAACCATTGATTTCAGCTCTGTTGCTGGTGTAATCCCCTCAAAGTCATAGGTTTAACACCTGTAGCTGTTTTATTCCTTAGCACCGAGGTGCCTTCAGAGCCCTGCAGATAGGTGTGAAACACCATCGTGACCAGAAGCTTTGAAGCTGCGCTGCAGGCAGGATCTGGGGAGTCCTGTGCTGATTAAAACTTCCTTTTCTTTTTTTTTATTTTTGTAATTGGGTTTTGTCAGGTGTGCGAGGAGCAGAAGTGCGAAGAAGAGGTCTTCCCCTTGGCCATGAATTACGTGGATCGCTACCTGTCATCAGTCCCTGTGCGGAAAAATCAGTTACAGCTTCTGGGAGCAGTCTGCATGCTCCTGGCTTCCAAGCTGCGAGAAACCATGCCCCTGACTGTGGAGAAACTCTGCATTTACACAGACAACTCCATCACACCTCAGCAGCTCCTGGTAACCACCCCTATATCAGAGCCCTCTTCCTCCTCCCCAGCTCTCTTATCTCCTGCATCCTGCTACTTGGCAGCATACCTGCCTCCGTGTCTCCTCCTGTTCTCTTTCTCCCATTTCTTCACCTTCTTCTGCATTCCCCAGCCAACCTTCTCTCCTCTCTGCCTCAGTGGGTGTGATGTCTGTTGGTGGAGACCCTTCCATCCTCCCTGTTCTGGGGAGCAGAATTGTCATCTCCAGTTTATAAAGTTCCTTGTGCCTTAAGTGCTCGTTGCCAGTGCAGAGCTGTCACACTGAGCTTGTTCCCGGGCGCTGGTTCGCTCTCGAGTGACAGCTCCGGAGAACAAAGGCAGCTGGCAGGGCACGAGGCAGGGGCTGCCCTGGGGCACGTGGCTTTGGCTTGCCCCAGATGCAAAGGGATGTGATGTGGGAGATGCTTTTCCACACCAGTAGGATAAATTAAACTTTAAGTGGAGAGTTAACCAGCAAAATGGGTGGGAGCTTTTCTGACCTGGGGTCCAGCTGCTGGGGTTGTACTCTCGAGGGTGACAGTGCGGCCAAGGGGATGGAAATGAGCAGGACCCTGCTGCTGCCCAGGTCCTGCTCCACGCCCTTGAGTTAGCGCAGGGCTGCTTGCCTCTCCCATCGTACGCTCGCGCAGAAGCTGTGTAGGCTTCGAAAGGCAACGTGGTTTTATGTCCGGTAAAAGTTCAAAGCAAAGATCCCAACCTCTGAGTTCAACTTTGCCCATGGGGGAGGAAATTGGAGAACCCCTTTTCTTGGGGACCTTCTGGGCTGTTAGACCAGAGCCCTGGGGAGGAAACGGCCACCTCGCTTCGAGTAACAAACATCTCTGGAGACGGTTTGTCTACGAGAATTTCTCAGGGTTAGTCATCGCCTTATTAAATATCTATTTTTTTGGGCTGGGGTGGGTGAGGCGATGTGAGTGTGATTTGTCCCCAGGGTGGGGAGTGAACCCACAAAACTTTCAGGTGCGAATCGGAAGGCAGTTCTGGTAACTGGGGAACTCTAGCATGAACGTGGTTTTTCCAAGTGCCAGTGAAGGCTGGGGAAAATCCCCTCACCTCCATACCTCTCTCCCTGTAGCCATTTGTGGGTGGTTGTTGCCTTTAGCAGCACTCATGGAAAAAAGTATGTGGATCATTACCGTGAGTAGTGGTGAGGGACAGGAATGCACAGAGGAAACACAAGTGCTGTTGCTTCTCTGGATGCTGCGTTGTGGTCGTGCTGCCGCATCCTGCTGCTGGGGACTGCCGTGAATCTCTGCGTGCGAAGGCTTGCTCCTGCTTTGTTGGCAACGCTTCATCCTTGTGAGCACCTTCTCATCCAGCGGTGGATTCTGTGTGGGTGTCTCCCCAGGACTTGGATCCATCTGGTGAAGCTAATCCCAGCCTGTAACAGGAAGGTTCTTGATGGATAGTGAGGGGGTTAACATTTAGCTGGGGAAAAAAAGGCAGGGGGGAATGGGAGTTGGTTTGCATTCACTTTTCTACTGGGCCAGCAAAATTGCCTCTGTTTGTTGCAGAGACGACAAGCTGAGCAGAAGGTGCCTCACGGTCTTTTTGTGGGCGAGCGGGCTGCGTTTCAGAGCACGGACAGTGTTCTCCATGCCCTCAGGAGCATGAAGCTGATCAAAATGCTTGTTGTGGGCCAGTGTCAGGTTTCTGTCCCTTTGAGCGATGGATAAGCTCTCTGCCCCACAGGAATATGGGCTGCAGGAAGGTGAACTTACTGCTGTGCTTCACCTCTATCTCTCTCTGATCCAGACTTCCCAGGGAGCCCTGCTGTCCTCATCCTTGCAGCCAGGGGAGATGATCACAGAAAATTCTAGTGATTGAGCTACAAAGAATTGGTCTTGGTGGGCACCTTGTGCATATTTCCCATGGATCCCAGCTCTATTTCATTATGATTTATTTGATGATTTATTCTTGGTGAGGATTTGCTTTTTTTCAGTTGAATTTTAAGCTGTGTTTGTAGCAGGAACCTTCCAAAGGAGAACAGTTAGGAGATGTGCAGGTGGGTGGTGAGCAGAGCATGTGCAACATCCCTGGAGGCTTTCCTTCCCTCTCCACTCGAATACCTCCTCGCTCAAGAGTTTTTTTTTATTTCTTCCCCCCAGAGGTTTGTTAGCAGGAAGCTGTGGTTAAGCAGTGCCACAATGTTTGTCTTCCCTTCTCCCTGCTCCTGGCAGCACTGGGGTGGAGATGGAGGAAAGCGCTGTCTGCCGCCTGTCGCTCACTTCTGATTGTGCAGGTCTGGTTCCTGGAGTTCTCCATCCCTGTTCTTTTTTCCCACCAGGATCCTGGGTTGCTCTCGGTACAACAGCAGGCACAGCTGGGTGGTTGGTGCGGATCTCTTTCATCCTTGTGCTCTGGGATCAATACGCAGTTGAGGTGGACAAGAATGGCTCTGTTTTGGGGGCCAAAAGTCCTTTCTTGGGATAGCCAGAGAGCTTTTTCAGGCAAATCAGATCCCTTTTTTCTTTCCTAAGGGGATGGCTGTGGGTGCTCAGCAGTGCAGGGGTTTATTCCTGGTGCTGGCCAAAGGGTTGAGCAGAAGGCGTCACAAACCAGCCCCAGCCCTTGAGGAGAGGCGCTGAGGCATTTGCAGATGTCTGAGCAGGAGATGCTCAGTAGCCCGTGATCTGGTGGTCATCTTTCCCTGCCCGCCGCAAGGCTTGACTTTGGTGGAGGTTTAACCCTGTGCAGAGCAGACCCTGCTCCAGGATCCCATCACTCCCCACGGTAAAGAGGGGGTAGAGGTAACATGTGAAGGTACGTGAAGGATTGGTCTTGGCTTTGGGACCTGACAAGAGTTAATACCCTGATTACAAAACCAGGGCGAGCTGCTGTTTTCCTCCTCTGTGCTAATCGGGGTGATGTTACTTCTCTTTCACAATCCTGCAGTGGAAGAGGGTGGGGAGGGGAAGGGGAGCTTCTTCATCAAGGTTTGGACAATGGTGCATCCTGGCCTCTTCTCCTGGATCGGTGCCATTTCAGCTTCCAGGGCATCCTCCCCAGCCTTTTGGAGGAAGCTGGCTCACTTTCCCAGTTGGTTTGCTTCCTTCTCTTGCTGGGATGCTTGGCACCAGCTCAGCAGTTTAGAAAGGACACATTTGAAACAAAATCTTGATGAAGTTATTCTAGGGAGAAGGAAATGAGGCAACGAGGGACTTGTCCATTTGGAGGAAGTTGGATTTCCGTCCAGGGCGTTATCTAACCTACCTTTCTTTTATTATTGGGTTTTTAATAAAGGCTTTTCTGGCCTCTGCAGGAGTGTGTTGAGCTGCTTGAAGGTTGGAGAGAGCAGTTGTAGGTCACCTTCATCTGCCTGGTTTGTTCCTAATACATTGACTTGCCTCTGAAATCTTTGACCTAAGGTCAGCTTTGCAAACTGCCAGCTATTTCCTAGCAAAGAATCAAGTGACTGCAGGCCATGAGGAGTGAAAATAAGAGAAAGAGATAACAGCTGAGTAGAAAGGGATGTTCACTTGTGATAGAACGTTGACTTTCCAGAAGACATGCTTGTGTTTTACTGTTCTACCTTCTGCTTGTTGCATGGGTTGGATAGATGCGACTGATTCTGCATCTGAAGTTGGCACCTTTACCCTTGACATCCAGACCTGAACTCTGGCCAAGGGATGGAAACAAACGTTTGCCCCAGATTTCCTATTTGCAACTGGACTTTCATGGCTGCTCATTTCTGTAGCTGTGTCTCAGCTGCTGGGTAGGGTGGGTGGGGAGCAGCAACATCAACAGCTCTTTCCACCTTCTTTTTTGAGTCAGCTTGTGAGCACAACAGAGTGCAGCCTGCTCCCGCTTCGCTGGTGTCTCAAGTCTGTGATAATGTAAAATGGTACCTTATCAACTCGAGTGACAAAACTGAGCGCAACTTCCTTTGCTCCTGCAGCCGGGGCTGCTGCAGAGAGGAGCTGGGCGCTCTGCTCCCTGTGCAGCCTCGCCAGAGAGGTTCACACAGGCTCCTGAAGGCACAGCGGCTGTGTGGGTGTTGCTGAGGGTAGAGCTCGAGGTACAGAGTGACTGTCACTACCTGAAAAGGAGAGCAGGCAGTGCGACTGTCAGATCCCAGACTGAGTTTGCAGAGATGTAAATTGAGTAAAACAGTCTCTGCTTGGGACTTCAGGGCTGTCCTAGCGAGAGGGTGCAGAGGCAGCAACCAGGGGCTTGGGGCTGTTTCTCTGCCACAGGGCTGTGCTCTGCGATCACCTTGTCAGAGCAGGGGAGGCAATGGGAAATGGTTGCTGCTTTTCTTCTTTTTTTTTTTTGCTTTCTTGTGGGATGCAGCCAGGAGAGATCAAGGGAGCAAGCTTGGAGAGGGCAAGCTCAGATGCTGTGCGATTTTCAGCCCTCGAGATGCTGGCCAGGCACGGGGAGCTCAAGCCTGGGGGAATCTTGCAGAAGGGGGACCTGATGCGTTCGCAGCGATGGGATGCTCGGTGGGCAGCACTGGCAGCTTGCAGCCCTTCCACGAGGAGGGTGAGCTCCGTAGGCTGGAGAAACAAAGGAACACTTTCCACTTTCTTCCTCTCTTTCATTAGCCAGGCAGAGACTGATTTAATTAGTTGCAAAACAAAATGCCAGGAAAAGGATGTTTGCTATACCGAGTGGTGCTGCTGTCGCAAACCTGCTTGCCTATCTCTTGCAGCCTTTTGTTCTGCTTCTTCCACAGATAAAGTGATTCAGAGATTCTGACATGCTGCTCTGAGAGCGGGAAGTCCCCAGGGTTAGCAGGAGAGAAGCGAGGAGCAGGGTGGTTTGGCAGGAGAGAAGCTTCCCTGAGCTAAATCCTGTGAGCTGGTGACAGTCCTTGGCGCCTGTCGCCTTCAGCTGGCATCTCGAGTGCCGGCTGGGTCTCGGGATCAGGCCTTTTGTAACAACGAGGTTTTTAAGAGAGACGACGAACCTCTGTAAGTAGCTGGAAAAGAGCTGCTTTTGTGCGCTGCAAATGGACGGGCTGCTGTCCCGGGTCAGTCCTGGCGTGGCAGGAGCCAGCTCGTCCCAGGTGAGGTCTCACAGCTGAGCGGATCTGCACCTTGGATCTTCTTGGGGTGTCAGAAGTGTCCTGCGCCCCTTCCCAAGCAACTGGGCTGGTGCATGGGCATGGTGCAGGTTTTCCCAGGGCTGCTGGTTGCTGTTGATGGGTTCCAAATGAGCTACAGGTAGGGACAGTGCACACACCTCTCCATCCCCAGCAGCTCTGTCCTTGTGTCACCTGGCTGTGTTGCTGCAGTTTAACCAGTGCCCAGCACTACCTGTTTTGGGGGTTGTTTTTTGTTTTCTTTTACCCAAGCCTGAACCCTGTGTTCTAGTTCCCCCATTGAACCAGGCACTGTCGGGGACCTGTGCTGCAATCCTCAGGCTCTGGAGCTCATTGCTAAGTTTCTTCTTGCTTTTAGCCTGTGTATTTGGCTTAAAATTATAGAAAGACTGGCAGGCTGGCCATCCATATGGGAGACTAGCGAGCGTGCGCTAGCGAAGCACCACTTTCTGGTTGGAAGAGTGCAGGCTGTGAAATGGCAAATGGTGTGTTTGGCTTCGTGGGGGATTTGGAGCAGGTTGAGCAATGCTGTTCATTTAAGCAACCCAAAACTGGTATTGTTGTGTAAGGGGAA